GGTGAATTGCTGGAAACAAATTTAAAAGGTGAAGGATTTGGGATTGTAGCTTACTTAAAGCTTACAGTTATCTTGTCACTGTCTCATGGAAACAGGCAGAAGACACATGATTCCTGCACCATAAAGACTTTATTACTCATAGAACAGCAAGAAGAATGAGCATCAACACATTTGCCTCAGTTCCTCATGGCTAAATCCCGCAAGGCCCATCCTACCCACACAGTGGGTTGCAACCCAGGCAAAGGGCCCAACACTTTTTGAACAAGCAGCATATTCCGTTTCCCTCCCTCTCCTTAGGCAGTGAGCAGGTACACAGTATCACTCTAAGGTCACCTTGACCAGCTAGTTGACTTTATGACTAGCTACAGGAACAGCTCAGTGTCAGAAGATGAATAAAGTTTGCAGTCTGGCATGCTCAGCAAGAATATGCATGTTTTAGTTCATTTTACATTGCTATAATGGAATATCTGAGACTGGGTAATTGACTTTAAAAAGAAGTTTATTTAGCTTATGCTTCTGGAGACTGGGAAGTTTAAGACTGGGAAGCCATATGTGACAAAGGCTTCATGTTGCATCATAACATGGCAGATGGCATCACATGGCAGGAGCATCCACGTGATGGCAGCAAGCAGGTATGTGCAGAAGAGACAAAACATGAGAGGCAACCTCACTTTATAACCACCTGCTCTCTCAGTAACGAATCCAGTCCTACAAGAGACATAACTCACTCACTCTCACAATATGGCATTAATCGTTTCATCAGAGCAGATCCTTCATGACTCAAATACCTTTTAAAGTCTTGCCACCTCTCAACACATTACACTGGGGACCAAGCCTCAACATGAGTTTTGGTGGGGACAAACCATATTCAAACCACAGCAATGCAGGAACAAATAGGAGCCAAAGGACTGCCTTTCACAAGCAAAATAAAAGGGAGAAAATTGAGCTATAATGGAGAAAAGTTGCCATATTTTATCACAAGTATATTATCATTAACCTGAAGTGGATTTTAAGTTGAAGTTATTATGAAGTTCCAGAAAAATTAAAATCCCTAGAGCAACCACTGAAAAATGAAAACTTTAAAAATATACTTCAAAATGGGCTGGGCACAGTGGTTCATACTTGCAATAACAACACTTTGGGAGGCCAACGGAGAAGGATTGCTAGAGACCAGGACTTTGAGACCAGCATGGGCCACAGAGTGAGACCCCGACTCCACAGAAATTTTTTAAATTAGCTGGATGTGGTGTCACACACCTGTAGTCCCAGCTACTCAGAAGGCTGAGGTGGAAGGACCGCTTGAGCCTGGGAGGTCAAGGCTGCAGTGATCCATGATCACCCCACTGCACTTCAGCCTGAGTGACAGAATGAAACCCTGTCTCAAGCAAACAACAACAAAAATACAAATGAGTGGTTTTCAGGGGATGAGGGATATGGAAATGGGAGTGACTGCTTATAGATACAGGATTTCTTTTGGGAGTGATTAAAATGTTCTGAAATTAGATGATTCTATAAATATACCAAAAACCACTGAATTATGCACTGTAAAGAGGTGAATTTAATGGTATGTGAATTATATCTCACTAAAGGAATTAAAATATTGATTTAAAGCAAAACAAGGCAATAAAAGGGTAAGAGAGGAAAAACAAGAAATAAAACATATAGAAAACAAATAACAAAATAGACAAATCCAAACATATCAATAGTTACATTGAATGTGAATGAATTAAACAAACAGTTCAATCAAAATACAAAAATTGTCAGAATGTATTAAAAAATAAAAAACAAGATCTAACTATATGCTGCCTAAAAGAAACACAGTTTAGATTCAAATATACAATAGGTTGAATAGCATGCATAAATAGCTGCTGTGAAAGTGCTGGAATGGCTATATGAATATCAGGCGAAATAGACTTTATGACAAAGGACATTAAGACATACAAGGAAAGACATCTAATCATAATAAAGAGGTTAACACATCTGGAAAATATAATGATTATAAACATCTAACACTTAACCATGGAGCCCAAATACATGAAGCAAATACTGGCAGAATTGAAAGGAGAAACAAAGGGTATGACTCAGTTATCTGAAATGACTCCTGATTAAGTAATGTTCACCAAAAATAAATATTGTTATTGTGAAGTTCCAGGAGAAATAAAAAAGGCAAAACAAGAATCCTTGCGTAAGCCTTTTATTTAAATAAGTTCATAAACTGTAACGTTTCCAGATTGCAGGGATAACTGAGGGGAATTACTCTCTCCAATGAAAACTTAATAATTATTTTCATTCCCATCGTCCTTTTGCAAAACAATTCCAAGGCTTGCTGAAACAGTAAGATAGTGCCCAGAATGTGCACTCTCACAAGGTGTAAGAAAGTAGACCTGAAAATACTGTATTGATAATATGTGGTCTAATCTTTCTTAAACTGCTGTTGCTGCTGCTGTAGTTTTACAAAGACTGCATATTCTTTAAAAAATTTTTTTGAAACTCTATTTGAAAAATAAATAGATGATAAATATATTCCTTCCGTGAAGTAAAGTAATGCACAAATGAATAAATAAGTGATAGCATTTGTGCAAAGATTAAGAGATTGTAAACTTTAGTTTCAAAATGAGCTTTGTTTGGTATAATACACAATATCATAAAGTGTTGTAAGCTATTCTGTTTTTCAAGTGGCACAATCGTGGTTCACTGAAGCCTTGCCCTCTCACATTCAAGGGATTCTCCCACCTCAGCCTCCCAAGTAGCTGGGACCACAGGCCTGTGCCACCACACCCGGCTAATTTTTGTATTTTTTGTAGAGATGGGGTTTTACCATGTTACCCAGGGTGGTGGTCTTGAACTCCTGAGCTTAACCAATCCAGCCACCTCAGCCTCCCAAAGTGCTGGGAGTACAAGAGTGAGCCATCACTCCCAGGCCTCAAACTTTAACTTAAGCAAAATGTATATGTCATTTCTCTGATAATGGTGCCATTATTCTAGACAGTAAATAAACAAATAAATAAAATATAGGCTTACTACACTTTGATCTGTACAAAAATTTGCACTTATGCCAAAATAGCTAAAATAGCTGTAACTATTTAAATTGATGAATGGATGGATGAAGATATGGATGGATATAAAAATAGTTGATAGATTTTTTTCCTTTCTGGCTCCTGCTTCATGGTAGAGCTAACCTACTCCTAGTCACTTACTCCAACTGCAGTGGATATCCTGTCTACCTTTTTTGTGGACGTTTGTCCAATAACAAATGAGTACCCCTAAAGTCAAGAGTCACACAAATATTAAACCAAGTTTTATAAATGTTTGTGCTATTGAGTTAAAGAGCTTACATGTACTATAGGGACTGATTCTATGACAAAGAATCAAATCCAGGCCACAGTTGTGAAAGCACAGAATCTTAGCCACTACACCACAAGCTGAAATGCCTTCTTTGTAAATCCCACAGGGAATTCAAAGCAGGCAGTTTGAGTGCACAAATAATTTTAATTTTGTTTTGGGTTAGATTTTTGCATTTTAATTTTGTCAAGAGAATTTCTAAGCCAAGACACTATTGTGCCTTTCTTTAATTTTATTATCCCATAAATGCAAGTAAGACAATTATTTAGAATGAGAGATCTCCAAAATCTTCTTTTTTTAAAAAAAAAAAATTACGGTTCTTTTTAATTTAAAGGATCCATCTTTTGGCCACTGATGATTAGAATTTCCAGTGGTTGGCCAGGTGTGGCTGCTCACGCCTGTAATCTCACCATTTTGGGAGGCTGAGGCAGGCGGATCACAAGGTCAGGAGCTCAAGACCATCCTGGACAACATGGTAAAGCCCTGTCTCTACTAAAAAATACTAAAAAAAAAAAATTAGTTGGGTGTGGTGGTGCACACCTGTAATCCCAGCTACTCAGGAGGCTGAGGCAAGAGAATTGTTTGAACCTGGGAGGCGGAGGTTGCAGTCAGCTGAGATCATACCACAGCACTCCAGCCTGGTAACAGAGCAACACTCTATCTCAAAAAAAAAAAAAAAGAATTGCCAATGGTTTACAAATTCCAGTAGTAACTCAACAATGCCTCTTCCTGGAAAATCCCAGAGATAATTTTCCGGGTTTAGAATAAGTTTTTACCATACAAACAAGAGGTGTTCCTTGAGAACATATAGAGGAGACAGTCTCCATGATCCCCAAAAGTTACTCAGCAGTAGACTTAAGATAACAAAGACTCTTGTTGCCACAGACTGTTAAGGCTGGTGTTTGTGCATATGGTGCCACTAGCAACCCACAAATTTTCCAGGGGCCACCAGTCACAGACCCGTTAATCCACTTACACCAGGTAGACCCTCCTGGGATTGGAATTTTCCCAGCCTAACCAGGCAACAAGAGCCCCTTACAGATGAAACTTGTTAAGACAAACTCCCCTGAAAACTTGACATATTTGGAAAAAAAGTGTACTTCTTAAAATCTTTTGTGACCAGCCATTTTTAGACTGGTCACCCAATGTGACCCGAAAATCATACTCCCCAGAATGGCAGGGACCAAGAGAAAATGCTCTCAAAAGTTGAGGTCTTATATGGACATGAAACAAAACAATAGAAGAATCTCATCTGGTTTTTATTTTGGGGACTGCAGAGAAGTTTATTAAGAAATCTGAAAGGACTCCTATGCATATCTGGTCTAGTCAGAACCGCAAAACTAATCAGTCTTCAGGGACAGCTCAGAGGGTTTATGGGGGTGTAGACCCATGTTCTACCCTATGGCATCCTTGTTTATGACAGAACAACACAGGAAGACAAAGACTATTTCTGGAGGGCAACTGACCAAACAATGGTAATATTCATACCAAAAAAGAACACCAGAGCCCTACACCCAAAACTAGCCACACATACCCTTTTATCCCATTAATCAAGGTTTTGGAGATGAAAATGAGACAAACAGCGATTTTTACCAACATCTCTACCAGATTCCACAGAAGGAGAGAGGCCAGGAGCCCAACTGGTAGGAATTTCTTACCCTTCTGCTGGCTTGTCAGATCCTCTGTTCCCTTCATTGCAGCTTCCAGAAGACCAGAACCAGTTTTCACAGCACCAAAACTGGAGGGGCCAAGGAAAATTTCCCTTTGCCCTCTGAAGTTTCACTGAAAATCACTGACAAAAAAAGGCAGATTAATAGAAGAAAAGGCATACACATTTATTTGATCACAGTTTTACATGTACACAGGAGACTTCGGAATGAAGACCTGTAGGGGAGGCTGGGCACAGTGTCACATGCCTGTGACCTCAGCACTTTGGGAGGCCAAGGAGGGAGGATGGCCTGAGGCCAACAGTTTAAGATCAGCCTTAGGAACAAAGCAAGACTCAATCTGTACAAAAAATTTTAAAATTAGCCAGGTATGCTGGGCCCAGGAGTTGGAGGCTGCATGAGCTGCGATTGTGCCAGTGAGCTCCAGCTCGGGTGACAGTGTGAGACCCTGTCTCTAAATAAAATAAATAAAAGATACAGAGGAAATTGTCCACTTTTATGCTTAGGTTCAACCAAGAATGGAGAGCTGTGTAGAAATATGTCGGGACAAAGAAAGAGTATGATCTAAAGATCTAGACTGAGTGGGGGGAACTCAGCAATGCTGTCTGTCTAGATTCTTCTTGACCTCTGTGCATTCCTTCCTTCTGGATGTGGGACTGGACTGTCTTCGGAATGGGCTTCAACAATCTGAAACAGTCAAACAAGGCAAGTCAGATCATTTCTTCATGGCAAGTTTTTATATGGAAAGGCTGGGAGAAAGTTAGAGTAATATTTTTAGCTTTTGTGGCTGGCTTCTATGACCCACCTGAGGCAAGAGGAATTCTACTTTCCAAGCTAGCCTTGGGGAGAATGAGAGGCCAGAGACAGAAGGGCAGGAGAAAGTCCAAGAGGCCACCACCACAGGAAAGATACAGGGCAGTTCTGCTTCAGAGGCCTTCATTTGGGACTACCGTTTTCTGAGAGCCTGGAATAGCTACAGCTCTCTGCAAAAAAGGCCGGGCAATATTACCCTTTGTCTACATTTTGTTCAGTAAAAATTTGGGGCTCTGTTTATTTGAGAGAAGAGAGAACAAATATATGGTCAGCAACTAACAGTTACTACTATAGAGTCAAAGTTACACAGATTCAGAACTAGAGAAAATGTGGAACTATAGACAGTCTCCAAAGGGTGAAATGAGGAAGAAGAGCAAAGAAAAAAAAGGAGCAGAAACCCCTCTTTGCTTGATATTAATACTAAATGGCTAAAGAGAAATTTTTTCAAAGGTTTCAAAGTGAAAACACTTCTTTCCTCTACAATGTATTCATTGTTTATTAATCTCTTAAAAAGCAAGGAGATAAATCTGCCAGAACTATTAACATTTGTTTTCTAATAAACATGTAGACACTGTTCATTCAATTTATTTAGATGAATGCTTATAAACAATAATTTAGATAGATTACAGTCATTTTAATCATTACTATTTAAAAAAATTTTTTTTTAGACAGTCTGACTCTGTTGCCCAGGCTGAAGTGCAGTGGTGCAATCTTGGCTCACTGCAACCTCCACCTCCCCGGTTCAAGTGATTCTTCTGAGAAGCTGGGATTACAAGCATGCACCATCAGGCCTGGCTAATTTTTGTATTTTTAGTAGAAAAAGGGTTTCACCATGTTGGCCAGACTAGTTTGGAACTCCTGACCTCAAGTGATCTGTCCACCTCAGCCTCGAAAATGCTGGGATTACAGGCGAGAGCCACTGCACCTGGCCTATCATGGTTATCATAAAAATTAATGAGGGGGCCAGGCACAGTGGCTCACACCTGTAATCCCAGCACTTTGGAAGGCCTAGGTGGGTGGACCACCAGGTCAGGAGATCCAGACCCTCCTGGCTAACATGGTGAAACCCCGTCTCTACTAAAAATACAAAAATTAGCTCGGTGTGGTGGTGTGCACCTGTAGTCCCAGCTACTTGAGAGGCTGAACCAGGAGAATCACTTGAACCTGGGAGGCAGAGGTTGCAGTGAGCTGAGATCGTGCCACTGCACTCCAGCCAGGGCAACAGAGCAAAAGGCTCGGTCTCAAAAAAATAAACAAAAATTAATTAATGATGGTTTAAAACTGCGTCTTGGGAAGCAGGATTGGGATGAGAAAGGTGTGTTATGAAAAAATAAGAGGAGAAGTTTTCAGGGAGATGGAACTGCTCTGTTTTTTTTTTTTTTTTTTTTTTCTGAGATGGAGTCTCGCTTTGTTGCCCAGGTTGGAATTCAGTGGCGCGATCTCCACTCCCTGCAACCTCTGCCTCCCGGGTTCAAGCAATTCTCCTGCCTCTGCCTTCTGAGTAGCTGGGACTACAGGCTGCGCGCCACCATGCCCGGCTAATTTTGTATTTTTAGTAGAGACAGGGTTTCACCATGTTGGCCAGGATGGTCTCAATCTCTTGATCTTGTGATCTGCCTGCCTTGGCCTCCCAGAGTGCTGGGATTACAGGCCTGAGCCACCCGACCTCTCTTTCTTTCTTTCTTTCTTTCTTTCTTTCTTTCTTTCTTTCTTTCTTTCTTTCTTTCTTTCTTTCTTTCTTTCTTTCTCTCCTTTACCTCCCCTCCCCTCCCCTCCCTTCCCCTCACTTCCCTTCCTTTTCTTCCTCTTTCTTTCTTTCTTCCTTTCTTCCTTCCTTCTTTCTTTTCATTCTTCTCTTCCTTTTTCCTTCCTCTTTTTTTCTTCATTCTTTTCTTTCTTTCTCTCTTTCTCTTTCTCGCTCTCTCTCCCTCCTCTCTCTCTCCCTCCTCTCTCTCTCTCTCTCTCCCTCCTCTCTCTCTCTCTCTCTCCCCTCCTCTCTCTCTCTCTCTCTCTCTCTCTCTCTCTCTCTCTCTCTCTCTCTCTCTCTCTCTCTCTCTCTCTCTCTTTGACAAGCTCTTGCTCTGTCACCCAGGCTGGAGTGCTGTGGTGCAATCAGGGCTCACTGCAGCCTCAACCTCCTGGGTTCAAGTGATCCTCCCAACCTTCAGCCTCCTGGGTAGCTGGAACTATAGGTGTGCACTATTACACCCACCTAGTTTTACTTTTTGTAGAGACAGGGTTTCACCCTGTTGCCCAAGCTGGTCTGTAACTCCTGAACTTAGGCAATCATCCTGCCTCAGCCTCCCAAACTGCAAGGATTACAGAGGCATTAGCCATCACACCCAGCCCAAATGTGCATTTTTCTTCAATCTTTAACCACAATTCCTAGTTTATTCCTCTTTAATAGATGCAAAATTCTCTTGTGTCTCTCTATAAATGTTAATTATATTTGTTCTAAACTGTTTTTCTAACTTGTGCTTTAAAATCTTTTTTTTCTTTTTTAGAGACAGGGTCTCACTCTGTCGCCCAGGGTGGAGCGCACTGGTGTGATCATGGCTCCCTGCAGCCTCAACCTCCCTGGCTCAAGCAGTCCTCCTGCTTCTGCCTCCCAAATGCTAGGATAACAGGTGTGAGCCACGGTACTCGGCCTCAGGTTTTAATGTTTCTTGAGTATTATACCCTTTTTTTTGTTTGCTGGGTTTTTTCGTTTTCAAATGTAGATCTTTTGAGTGTGTGTTCACCTTGGTAACTGAGATTCCCTGTTAGCCTGTGCACATGTGGGATCTGCTTATTGCATTCCACCTGCAGGATTTTTGAAGGAGAAGATGGTAGATGTGGAGTTTCACAAGGTGTGTACCTTAGTCCATTTTCTGTTGCTTATAACAGAATACCTAAAACTGGGTAATTTACAAAGAAAAGAAATTTGTTTCTTACAGTTATGGAGCCTGGGAAGTCCAAGGTCAAAGAGGCATATCTGGAGAGAGCTGGTGGGGACTCTTGAGGTGGCCCTGGGCAGTGAGCCTGTGCAAATTACCCTTACCTGTCCTCTGAAATAATTCTGTCCTCCTATGCCTCTGGGCCTATGATGGTAGGGGCACCCTCTAAAATCTTTAAAATGCCTTTGGTATTTTTCTTCCCTTGTCTAAAGGAATAGCACCTGTCTCTCTTTTATCCAAGCTAATCTCTTTAGCAAACAGTCACTGGGCTTCACCCTTGGTTTCCTCTGCTGAACATGCTTTTATACTCTTTACATGGTCAGGCTGAGCGTTATCCAAATCTTTCCACTCTGCTTACCTTTTCATGATAAATTCTACCTTTAATTATTTCTTTGTTTCTGAAAGCAGCTTAAGCTGCCAAATGTAATCATGTAGCTCCTTCCACATTTGGCTTAGGAATTTCTTTTGCCAGATACTCTAGTTCATTAATCTCAAGTTTGGCCCCCCACCACACCCTCAGGCACGGACACAGTTCAGCCAAGTTCTTTGCCAATTTATAACAAGGATGGCCTTTACTCCAGTTTCCAATACCACCTTCCTCAGTTTCAACTCGAATCTCAGAAATACATATTTCTATCTGTATTCTGGTTACAACCGCTTAACAAATCTTGAAGAAATTCCAAATGTGCCCTTGCCTTTTTGTTTTCTGAGTCTCACTAGAATCACCTTTAATGCTCCATTCACTGAAATACAGTCATTTTATACCTGCTCCTTCAAACTCTTCCAGCCCCTGCTCCTTACCTAGTTCCAAAGCTGCTTCCCCATTTTCAGGTATTCGTCATCAGCAAAATCCCACTTCTTGGTACCAGTTTTCTGTCTTCATTCATTTTCTTTTGCTTATAACAGAATGCCTGAAACAGGGTAGGTTATAAAGACAAGGAATTCATTTCTTACAGTGTGGAGGCCGGGAAGCCCATAAGAACTTTCTTGCTGGTGGGAACTCTCTTCGGTGTCCCAAGGGGGCACAAGACATCACATGGTGAGGAAGCTGAGCGTGTTAACTTGCTAACTCAGGTCTCTCTTCCTCTTCTTGTAAAGCCACCAGTTCCTCTTGCATGACAACATGTTAATCCATTAAACCATTAATCCATTAACCCGTTAATGGATTGGATCAGAGACCTCATGATCCAATCATGCCTTAAAGGTCCCACCTCTCAATACTGCACATTGGGGGTTTAAGTTTCAAAATGAATTTTGGAGGAGACATGTGAAACTAGCAGTGGGCTAGGACCAGTCTCAAAATATGGGGCCTCTCTTTTCCTTCTAAATGTCAGAAGCCATCCAGGGCACTGTCCTGCCTTTTCAGTAAAAGTGTACATGGACTGCCTCCCGCTAACCCCACCACCACCTTTAGGGGCAAATTCTTCTGCTATCCACTGCAAATAAAAGTAGGGGTAAGGTTGAGAAGCTGACCTGGCTCTTCCTACAGTGGTTTCAATCAATAACTCATAGAATTGCTTAAAGGCCGCTATTGATAAACAATAGCTTCTTTCTGTGTGCTTAGAACACTCTGAGAGTCACTTCCATTTCTGCATAAGGCCTTTATTATACAACTGTTGTCTGTCCACCTTCAATTCAATCCCATCTGCCTTCTATTTTTCAAGTATTCTTACAATGTCTGGCCCATGAGAGCACACCTTCATGTATTTCAATTCTAGGCATGGTCATGTATGCACAAGTATGTGTGTATCTAAGTTTTCTGTAATTTTTAGAGATTTTGGAAAAGGAGGGAGAAGTGGGAAAAGGATAGAACTTGTTTTTGTCTGCCATCTCAGTACAATCTCCTTGTAAATTTCCAGTTACATGTTAAACTCTTTTAATCCCAAACACAGACAACTGCTAGTATCATATGATCTAATTTGGAAATCTCTGCTTCTGAGGTGATGTCATATGATCTCAGTTTAAGACTTGGTCCCCATACTAAAACTGACATCTGCATGACACATGTGAATAAATTTCATTCTTCATCCACAAAATTATCTTTCAGATTTTAATATTAGTTCTTAAAAGTATTGAGAGTTCTGTATTACAGAGATTCTTACAAACACAAAACAGCAATACAGCCTAGGCACAGTGGCTCATGCCTGTAATTCCAGCACTTTGGAAGGCTGAGGTGGGTGAATCACTTGAGGTCAGGAGTTTGAGACCAGCTTGGCCAACGTGATGAAACTCTGTCTCTGTTAAAAATGCAAAAATAAGCTGGGCATGGTGGGTACACCCATAGTCCCAGCTTCTAGGGAGGCTGAGGCAGGAAAATCGTTTGAACCTAGGAGGTATAGGTTGCAGTGACCCAAGATCATGCCACTGCACTCCAGCCTGGATTACAGACTCTGTCTCAAATAAATAAATAAGTAAAGCAAAAGAAGTTTAAAAACAGAAATACAAATATTTTTGCTCAACTATAAAAAAAGAGAAAAAATTTAACTTTTCTAAAAAAGGGTTGTGTTAAAATTCAAAAATAAGAAAAAGCAACTCAAAAAGATCCTGAAACATTATTTCCTTGTCACTCATCCCTAAAATTATTTGAACCAACAGTATTTTGCCAACACTAATAAATTAATAATTTAATTGATTGAGAGTTGCCATTTAAATTCCAAACTTTGAAATCTAAAATAGTCTCTAATCAGATGTACAATAGAAATTTTATAGAAAGATCGTTACATGGTAAATTGGTTGCAAAAAAAAAAAGAAATTGTATAGAAAGCAATACAATCCTGAAATAAACTAAAAATGTTCAAATAATTCTAAAGAGTTCAACAAAACAATTTTTAATATATTTTTAAAATATTTAATAGACATCTAACACGTCCCAGACACTGTTCTAGGCATGGCGATACTTCAATGAACAAACAGACAAAATTCCCTGTTTCTCGGAATTTACGTTCTAGTATATACATATAATCATATAATTTAAATAATCTGAACTTTGCCTTTTCCTATAGAAATTACTAGTAAGGTAAATAAATGTTTTAAGACCAAACACAAATATGCATATCTCTCATAGCTGTCCATCACACAATAACATAAAAACATATTTGAAAACATTTATAACACAGAGATACATTTAGCTACTGACTTCAAAACATTAGAAAATAAGATCTTGTAAAAGAATGCAAGTAAAGTCAAGTGTCCTAAAACTTACCTGAGTTAAGTGATTCACTTGTAAAGGGAGCTATTGACTAGATTTTAGGTAAGTGTACTAGATTTTAGATAACTCTGTTTTTTTTTTTTTTTGAGACGGAGTTTCGCTGTTGTTACCCAGACTGGAGTGCAATGGCACAATCTCGGCTCACTGCAACCTCTGCCTCCTAGGTTCAAGCAATTCTCTTGCCTCAGCCTCCCGAGTAGCTGGGACTACAGGCGCACACCACCATGCCCAGCTAATTTTTGTATTTTTAGTAGAGACGGGGTTTCACCTCATTGACCAGGATGGACTCGATCTCTTGACCTCGTGATCCACCCGCCTCGGCCTCCCAAAGTGCTGGGATTGTAGGCGTGAGCCCCCGTGCCCAGCCTAGATAACTCTTAACAGATGTTAATTATATACTAAAACTAAATATCTGAAATAATCCTGATGTCAGAACTGAGGACACAGAAAAACACTGGGTCTAGGAGGAACAAGATTTTGATCATCTAAGGTCCCACTGTACAATATGGTAGCTACTCACACCCATGGTTAACTTTGAATTCATTACAATTTAAAAATTAAAAATTCAGGCCCGGCACAGTGGCTCACACCTGTAATCCTAGCACTTTGGAAAGGCCAAGGTGGACCGATTACTTAAGGTTAGGAGTTCGAGACCAGCCTGGACAACATGGTGAAACCTACATCTCTATTAAAAAAAAAAAAAAATTAGCCAGGCTGGTGGTGTGCGCCTGTAATCCCAGCTACTTGGGAGGCTGAAGCAGGTGAATCACTCAAATCCTGGAGGCAGAGGTTGCAGTGAGCTAAGATCACACCACTGCACTCCAGCCTGGGTGACAGAGCAAAACTCTGTCTCAAAAAAAAAAAAATTGACTCCTCAGTCACACTAGCCACAATTCGAGGGCACAATTGCCACATAAAGCTTATGACTCCCATGCTGGACAGTGCAGTTATGGCACATTTCCAACACTGCAGGAAGGTCCCAGGGCCCACGCTGCTGTGAGGAATCAAGAAGCACGCCATTCCTGGGACGAATAAGAACCTCCTAGAGAGGCTTTTAAAATTGGCCATTAACACAGCAAAAAAAGATTTTCTTCTCTATGCCTTGGCTATTTGCATTCCTGCATCTTAATTTTCTCACCTCCTAGACAATGTTCCTTTTTTTTTTTTTTTTTTTACTATTGCTTTCCCTATTTTCTTACATTTTTCCTACCCTTTTTTATTTCTCTCTCACTATTTTTTCTTTTCTTCTTTTGAGACGGAGTTTCGCTGTTGTTACCCAGGCTGGAGTGCAATGGCGCGATCTCGGTTCACCGCAACCTCCGCCTCCTGGGTTCAGGCAATTCTCCTGCCTCAGCCTCCCAAGTAGCTGAGATTACAGGCACATGCCACCATGCCCAGCTAATTTTTTGTATTTTTAGTAGAGACAGGGTTTCACCATATTGACCAGGATGGTCTCGATCTCTTGACCTCGTGATCCACCCGCCTCAGCCTCCCAGTGCTGGGATTACAGGCTTGAGCCACCGCGCCCGGCCCCTTCTCTCACTACTTTTTCTAACAACAAATATGCAGCCCACCTTTAATGATTTGATGCATTTATTGAGGATTTTTAAAATTTCTCAATGTTAAAATGTTAGGAGCTGAATGGGCATTATTTCTAGTGCGTTTTCAAAAAGATCCATATTTAGAGGAAACTGTTTTTAAGGTATGTGACCTTACGTGTGTTTTCCCCCACCTGAGAACATTATGCTTCATAGAAAGGGTTTCTCACCGTTGGAATCCGGGGTGAAAAAAAATGTGCAATTCTAGTTCCGGCCTCTGGGGTTTCCCTGCACCGAGGCCGGGCTCAGTCCTCTGGACCGCGAAGTCTGCGTGGAATTTGTCGGTCCGCCGAACTCCTACCGCCACCCAGCGGAGAGAAGGCGCAAGGGTTCCTTCGCCAGTCGCGGTTGCCAGGCAACGGAGACACGGCTCGGTCCGTATTAAGGAGGAGGGAGCTGACCGAAGGATCCTGAAAAAAACTGTAATAACCTCGCTTTCCATTGGCTGAAGAGCGCTCAGCCTTCGCAAGGGCCAATGAGAAGAGGCACGCGGTTGGCGTCAGACGCTATGCGACCCCTCCCACCCACGCTCTGGCAACGCGTCTGGAGACTGCGGAGGCTCACGTTGGACCGAAGAGGTCCTGACTGCCCATGTGCACCTCACAGCTCGCGCTCCTGCAAGTGTTCTTCCTGATGTTCCCCAAGGGCATCCGGCCTCAGCACTCTTCCTCCCCATCAGGGGCAGTGCCCACGTCTTCGGCGTTGGAGCCAGGGACGCATGGCGGAAACCTCCAGTCCTCCTCAGAGGCGACTGCAACTCCCCCGGCCGTGCCTGGGATCTCTACAGTGGTCCCTACTCTCGTGACCCCCTCGGCGCCTGGGAATAGGACTGTGGACCTCTTCCCAGGTAAGGGGAAACGTTGTGGGGATGGAAACTTAATTCTGAGATCTAAAATTCTGGGAGCAAAGTGAACTGCCACAAAGCCAGGAGTGGGGCTGTCGGAAGAAGTGGGGTGAGCACCTGGGAGAGTTTGGGGATCCTCATCCCACTCACTCTGTGTTGTACTTTCATAGTCTTACCGATCTGTGTCTGTGACTTGACTCCTGGTACCTGTGATATAAATTGCTGCTGCGACAGGGACTGCTATCTTCTCCATCCGAGGACAGTTTTCTCCTTCTGCCTTCCTGGCAGCGTAAGGTGAGCTTCGTTGCTCAGACTGAATCCTAAGGGGATTGGGGCCTTTAGTGGGTAACATTTGGTTGTAAGAAGAGTTAGTCTTTGTGCCTCTCGCCCCTACTTCT